TGGGGGCTATTCATACATGCTCGAGAGTACTGTATGCTGTCAGCTGTTCGGAACACACATGAATGCTCACGTACCACCAGCACACGAGAGCATAAGCAAGAGCAAGAGCAAGAGAGATGTCCGCATCCATCCCGTGCCTTGCAAATTTTCAATGTCACCAATTGCGACGCCAAACTCCGCTGTCGGCGTCGCTGCTTATAAATCTTCGACAACACACACATAAAAAATACATACGAAAACGGCGCATTGAAAATTGCTCTAATTCGCCAAAAACAGCTGATTTTTCGTCGTCGTCGTCGTTGCTTCCTGTACCTCCTCTCACGGCCTCCACTGCCTCCCGCCGCTCTGCCTCTCGGGGGCAATCGACGGCTGGCTGGCTGGCTCCAAACATCGTCATGGACTCGGTGTCGTTTTTTTGCCGTGTCTGTCAGTCGTGTGGCGGTCGTCGTCGTGCGGCGACATGAAATGGCCGACGCAAAATATGCGCATATAAAAGCTCCTCCTCACCCCCCAATCGAAACGCCAACAATCCCCAACCCCATCATGCTTGCCTTATAACCTTGCATCATAACAAGAGTGTGCGTATTTAGGCTAGTTACAGGTCGAAAATCTTTTTCCTTTCCCACAAAACATCATGTGCCGCTATGGCACTCACTGCCCTGCTTCCCTCTCCTCTTCCACCCACTCGGCCATTGTAGTAGGTGTGGGAGAGCAGCGACAGCCACCAGCATGGGAAACACCAAGAGCCGACAACATATCTAGCGTCGTCATCTCCAAATCAAACTCAAAACTGTTCAGAGAGGAAGAGGGAGAGCAAGAGCAAGCTAGTGCTAGTGCTCAGTGCTCGTCTTCCATTCAATTCCGTCCGTTTTATTATGATGAGCAGCAGTCGCGGTCTTCCATACGAAAACTTTAAGCCCCGCTTCTTTTTTATTGCGCCTCTTCCTCTTCGTTTTCTTCTTGTGGGCCACCACTGCCGCCGCCGCCGCCGCGCTCTTTTCATGTTGTTTCGTCTTTCTCTTTGGCGCGGGGATCGTACATTTAAATTGCTTTTGTGCGGAGATCGTCGTTTCGTTTCGTCGGAGCCAAAGTCGCGGACCAGCTCGGGTTCGGTCTTCGTCTCCGAGCCGCTGTCTCTGGTTCGAGCTCGAGCTCGAGCTCTACCTCTGGCTTTTGTCGAAAACTGAAACTTTGGTTTTTTTTCTTCGTCAATCTTTTTGATTTTTTGTTGCCCCGCTTCGCTTCGTTTTCGCTGCTATCGCACGTTGTTGAAGAATTCAAAGTGGGGCCCACAGAGCCAGACCGGGCACCAGACCCGACCCAACGACTCTCGACCGGGCCGGCGAGGCAGGCACAGAGGTAGCGACCGACTTTAATGCTTGCAAGTCGACTTTTGAGCGGCGGCAACGGTGCTGTGGGTTAAGCGAGGTACAGTGGATAAATTGGGGTTTTTCGTGGAGGGGTGTTGGTACTTTTAGCCAAATATTATATTCGATTAAAGGGGATTTATATAATAATTTAGTGAGCTTATTTGTTAGTAATGATACAATTCAATTAATAATTTTGAGACATTTTATTCAGATCTAAAGTTACCTATTTCTCATTTGCCATTTTGGCCCCACGGTGCCGGGCCCCAAGCGGACGATGATGTTTCGTTGTCTCTAGCTTTCGGGCAAACATTTCGAGTTGCTGTTGATGTTGTTGTTGTTGCGTTGCCTCCGACGACAATGACTGGGCTCCGACTCTGACTCTGGCTGTGCCTGTGTGTGGGGCTGTGTTGGGCTCTCAGGTTTTCAGTTCGTTCGTTCGTTCGCCCATTCGTTTGTTTCGTACTGTCGGTCGTTCGTTCGGGCCTGACTGGCTGGCTGGCTGACTGGCTGGCTGTTTGGTTGGCTCATAACCTGAAACTTGAATATTGTGGAATTTGAAGGTAGCATGGTTGTTGTTGTTTTTGTTGCTGTTGCTGCAGCAACAACTGCAGCAACGCTGCGTGCGAGCTTTAGACTCGAGAGCTCGAGAGTCGAGAAACACACAGCAGAGCACAGCACAGCACAGGCCGCCGTCAATTTGGAGCCAGTTGGAGACGGAGACCGTTGCCGCCGTCTCCGTCTTTACAGCAGTCGCAAATGCATCTGTGTTGTATCGCTCTCTGCTTCGTAGTGCCCAGCAGTGCCCAGTGCCAGTGCCAGTGCCAGCAGCTGAAACGAGTTGCTGGCGAAGCGTAAAATGCTGCTGCTGTTTGTTTCGCTGGTAAAAAGCTAACGAACGAATGAACGAACGTTGGCTCTGGCTCTGGCTCTGTGGCCCCGAGAGTGGGGACTGGGATTGGATTGGGGACTGGCTGGCTTTTGTGCTGCTGCTGCTGGAACTGGCTGTGACTGTGGCTGAGGCTGTGGCTGTAGCTGGGAGTGATGTGATGTTGGTGTGGCAATAAAAATTCAACTTCTCAGCGAACGAACGCAATGCAGCTCAAAATCATCATCATCATCAGCAGCAGCAGCAGCAGCAACAGAGGCTCAGGCTCAGGTTAAGGCTTGAGCTGTAGTCTTGAGCTCCTCCGGAGATGATGATTGTTGGCCGCTTATAATGATGGCAGCACTCGCAACAGCAACAAAAACAACCAACAAGCAGCAACTAACAAATGCAATAAGCATTTCTCCAGCTCTACACAAAATTCGAAAGAAAACTGAAAAATTAGCGTAGAAAGTTGCTCCTTTTTGTGTTGTATTTCGATGATTCGATGATTGTTTTGTCCGTATGTAAGAGCTTTGGCTTTGAAGCTTTGCAGCTTTTTTGCAGCGATCCGTTTCGATTGGATTCGATCGGAGTCACACGGCGTATGCGCAATGTGCTTCGGATTTGTAGCATCGGTGGCCATTACACATACGACCAGTTGTCGCCAGAACAATGAGGCATGCTCACACACACAGTGTGTGTCGCACGATGACGCTTCCACTCGACTCGCTTCTGCTGATGATAAGCCCCACCAGAACACCAGAAAAGAACATGACTCAGAGAAGAGACGAAACAATACAATGGGAATGGCAAATCGTATTGGGAATGGGGCAAAGAATCATCAAAGAAGACGCTGTTCCGTTCCCAAAAAGGGAGTACGGAGTCCATGGCCATGGAGCGCGTGTGTCTAGACGAGAGACGTTCGCTCCAGCCCCTATACCGAAAATAACCAACAAAAATACAGCTGCAGACGAGCGAAGCAAAGGAACGAGGGATGAAATGCGACGATGACGATGAGACAGGGAACGGGCACGAGAATGGGAACGGCAGACAGCAGTCAAAGGCAAACAAGATGGCAAGGGACCAGGGCAGGCACTGCGAGAGGGAAGGAAAAATGCGAAACACATGCGACTCAGCCACAACGACGACGACGACAACCTCGATGACGATATCTGAAAAACGAAAACTCACCCCAAAGCCAAAGCCAAAGCCAGCCGTGGCGACGATGCGCTCGGTCCGGTCCGTACTTATATGATTTTCCCCTCAATGCTAATGGTAACTGCAACAGCAGCAATATGTGGCAGCAACAGCACAGAGGCAAAGGCAAAATATGCGAGCATATGGCAACCCTTATGAATATGACGCCGATCCGTTCCTCACAAAGAGCCAAAGGCCCGAGCTCGAGCCCGAGCCAGAGCCCGTCCCGTCCCGTCCCGTCCCGTCGTTCACTGCACAGATGTTCGAAAAACTGAAAGGGAGACAAGACCGAGAGCAGAGACCGAGTGCTTCTAGCCATAGAGTTGACTGAAGGGTGGCAACACTGCAAAAAGGGGGAAAGTCTTTCGGTCCGAGAAAGATGAGTGGCAGTTTCGAAATTGGTGGAGTGTTCAGCAGTGACAGAGAGATCTCAGATCGATGGAGATTAACGAAGCAGAGAGCAGGGAGAACTAGAGGTGGATGCACAAATGTAGATAGAGATATTACAGAGGGTTACAGGAAGATTAGGGCATGGCCAATGCTCATATTTAAGGATCGATTAGAGCAGATCTTTCCTTCAAAGTAACTCCATATTGAATCCATCAAACAAGTTTCCTGCAAGTTCGGATCACTCGGTTGAGTAATACAACAAATTTGTGATAAACTTATCCATCCCAATATTCGTTAGTTTTCCAAATATCCTAAGCAAAGGAAACTCCCATTCATCCATAAAAAAACTCTTCGATGCAAAAGTTCCAAAAAAAATCTGAGAGAAAGAAAGAAACCCAAAAATAGTTTCGAAAAGAACGAAACGCGAACGAATGGAACATCTGAGAACAGAAAAATGCTCTCGGGCAGCACAATAAATGTGCGGTAGTTGTGATGGGGGGAAAAGAGAGAGCAACAGAATGAAGAAGAAGAGCAGCAGCAGCAGCAGTCGAAGGCAATCATCCCACACTCGCACTGCTTTCTCCCCCTCTGCCCGAACACTGCCACCTCCCCACACCCCACACCCCACACCGCTCTCTATCTTTCTTTCTTGGGCGCTCTTGGGTTTTATTTTAAGAAGATTTCTCGAGTCGAAACGAGTCGCATGCAGGCAGTGAAACGCCGATGAGCAATGCCACACAGCATACAACGGGGTGTGGGTGGCGGCAGAAGGAGTGGGTGGAAGGGCATGGCATGGGCAGGAGGGTGGCATCCTGACTGACGGACAGACGGACAGACAGACAGGCGGACTGGCGGACTACTCCTCGACTTTGCCGCTTGACTGTTTGTTGCCTGGCATTTTCCATTTCATTTTCATGCGGCTCTTGCCTGGCTCTTGCTCTGCCTCGCCTTTGAGTGGGTGGAGAGACACAGGGGGAGGGGTGCTCCATGGTGCTTTTCCATTTTCTTGATAAGTTTTTGTTGTTTTTTGCTGTTGCGTGTCCTTTGTGCGTAGAAATTTATGATACAAAGTAAAGATGTCTTCTTCCTTGCTGCTTGCTCCTCGATTTTGCATTTCGTGTTGTTTTGCTTTTTGGCGGCAATTTTCTAACCAAAAGTCTCTCCTTTGCGTTTTGCAGGTAAATTCAGCGATGGGTCTTCAAGCAACAGCCGCCACGAAGCGGAAGCATGAGCTGACCTTTGACAGCAAGGATGCCAACACCACCTACACGGGCAACTGTGCCCCGCCCCCCCACAAGGCCAACAAATGGGCCATAAGCAACAACAACTACCTGGAATCGCTGGAAGAGGAGCAGCAGCAGCAGCAGCAGCAGCAGCAGCAGGGAGAGACAACTGTGGTGGAGTCGAACAACAATCACATCATCATTGTCGATGCCGAGTCCAAGCTCGAGAGCAGCAGCAGCGGCAGAAGCAGCATCGCCCTCACGAATGGTAGCGAAGTTACTAGCGTAAAGAGCCAGTCGGAGGTGCCACTGCCACCGACGGCAAGTGCCGCCATCCCGGAGGACAACATCGCCAAGCTGGAGGTGGTGGCCGCCGTGCCCTGTGAGCCCTGGAGCGGTGCTGCCTCGGTGTCTGTCAGCAGCAGCAGCAATCCACCGTCTGTGATTGGTGGGGGTGCCGAGGATTGCATCTCCAAGCTGCAGGCTGTGGCCGTGCCCAGCGATCCGTGGGGCAGCATTGCCACACGCTCCACGCTGGCCACGACGCTCCTCAGTGCCGATGAGCTGGACGATGACGATGATGACTTTGAGGATGATTACGAGGAGGAGGAGAGCATCATACCCACCTACTGCCCCATGCGGTATCATCCGTTTGTGCCGCTGCCACATCCGCTTCCGCACCAGCTGCCAGCCGCCCATCCCCATCCCCTCCAGCAGCAGCAGCAAGCGGCAGTGGTGCAGCAGCAGCAGCACCACCAACAGGCGGTGGTGCAACAGCAGCAGCAGCAGCAGCAGCAGAGGAGTAGCTATGCCCCCGGGTATGGCAGTCGGCAGCCCAACTACTACTCGGAGCCCTTCCCACAGCAGAATTGCTCACGGACCGGAGGCCCCCAGCACATGACGCAGCCCACGCCCCAACAGCCGCAGCAGCAGCAACCCCAGCAGCCTCGAGGATTCGCCCCACCCCAGTGGACCACAGGATCGGCAGCTCCCACCTCGCCCTCGGGTCAGCAGTTCTACGATAGCGCGAGTCCCAGTGGAGCGGCACCCGCATATCCCCAACAGCAACAGCAGCAGCAGCAGCAGCAGCCAGCGGCACCCCAGCAGACGATCCGCTGTGCGGAGAACGGCAAATCGTACCTGGATCTGGGCTGCAGCAGTGCGGCGGGCGCGGCAGTGGCCAGCAGTCCGTCGACAGCCGCCTCGCCCATCAGTCCGCCTCCATCCACGGCGCCAGTGGCTCCGTTTGCTGGTCTGCCTGGTCTGCATGGTCTGCCCCTGAAGCGGTGCTGCGACGGTCGCGCCGGCGGCTGGTGCAGCGCCAACAGGAGCTGCTACAAGGACACTCGCCTGAAGATACGCAATCTGTCGATGTTCAAGCTCTCCCGCTTCCGGCAGGTGTCGGAGCAGTCGCTCTACCGATCGGTGCTCATCTGCAACACCCTGAAGCGCATCGATCGGGAGATCGAGGCAGAGGCCAAGGAGCTGCATCAGGCGGCGCAGCAGCACCATCAGCAGGCGGCGGCAGCAGCAGCAGCCGCAGCAGCAGCAGCGGCCCAAGCAGCGCAATATCATCCGGCCTATCAGCAGCAGCAGCAATCCCCGCCAGCGTCGCAACTTCATCCGCATCCACATGCCCAGCAGCAGCAGCAGCAGCAGCAGCAGCAGCAGCAGCAGCAGTTGGAGTATGCCCCAGTGCTGAATTGTGCGCGTTTGGCCAACATGGATCACTACCAGCAGCTGAGTTTCCAGCCGCAACAGCAGCAGCAACTCAGTGGCTACCACGAGAGATTGGAGCCACAGCCAGCTGCGGCCTACAGGGGTGCAGGAGGAGTTGTGGGAGTGTCGGGATTCCAGGGGCAAGCCAACAACTGTGATACGTCAGCGAGCAACAGCCAAGCTGCAGGAGCGGCAGCTGGGGCAGCAGCGGGAGGTGCAGCAGCAGCAACGAGCGGGAGCAGTCTACATCCCTACGATCATTATCCCTTTCGGGAGTCGCAATCTGGACGTGCCACACCGTTTCCCGCCTGCCCCACAACCTCCTCAGCAGCAGCAGCAGCATCCGCAGGAGCAACATCCACAGCAGCAGCAGCAGAGCCACCAACAGCGGCAACAACAGCCGCGAGTCCTGTGGGCAGCAACAGCAGTTCCTCAGCAGCTTCCAGCGCACCCAGTAATAGCTCCTCCAATGCCTCCAGCAACAGTTCCAGCCTTAGCCTGCCACCAAGAAGCAGTGGCAGTGCCACCAGCAGTGGCAGCACTTCGCCCAGCAGCAACAACAACACCAGCAGCAGCAGTGGGAGCAACACAGTGAGTCCTGGCAGCAGCGACACCAGCGATTCGGGCTATGCGGACGATGACTCGACGCGTTCCATCAACTGGAGCTCGGTGCTCAGCCTGAGCTCCCAGTCCGCGCTGGATCCGCTGAACAACAACGATCTGTTCAACATTCTGCCAGCGGCAGCCACGCCCACAGCAGTACCCGTGTCTGTGGCAGCAGCAGCCTCCAGCACCGCCTCCACGCTGGCCTTCAGTGGCAGCTTTACCACGGTGCAGGCGGGCTCCAGCGGCAGCGGCAGCAGCAGCAGCGGCAGCGGCAGCAGCTCCAGCAGCAGCTCAAACAGCAGCGCCTCATCCACGACAGCAACCTTCACCACCCTGTCGACCATCTCCTCGGCCACCCACTCCCTGACGTCGTCGTATGTGAGCAGCATCAGCTCGGGTGTCAGTGCGGGCGCCAATACGTGGGAGTACGGATTCCTGGACATGGAGTTCGGCCTCGGGTCGGAGTTCACGGAGCTGGTGCCCAGCTGCAAGCTTTCCTCGGACGAGCTCTTCAAGAGCGGCCTCAGCGGACCAGTGGCCAGTGCGCGACTGCACCACGACAACGAACTGGAGCAACCCGCCCACATTATGGTCGGCAGTTAGTATCAGTTGTAAACGACGACGACGACGACGGCGACGACACAGACAGGCGGTGCTGGTGGCGGTGGGGGAGCGGCGTGCTGGTCATGCTGCCCCCACCAGCTCCGACAGGCCAATAGAAATTCCAAGCAGTATTGAAATGTGAAACAGTGGAAACAGAGAGACAGAAAGAGAGAGAGAGAGAGAGAGAATTATGCTCAGGTTGTGAAAGTGCATGAATTATACAATATCCCTTGAAATGTACACCTCCTCCCTCTACACACCTCTTCCTTCCACACAGAGAGAGAAACACAGAAGAAGAGCTAAGTGAAAAAGGAAAAAGGAAAACCCCCAGACAGACACAGAACAGATCGCAGAAGCAAAAGCAAAAAGCAAAACTATTAGCTAATTTTTGTAAGTGTAAATAAGGAGAAGAAATGTTAGATGTAACTACAAGAACGCGATTATATATATATATATATATATATAGGCATATTTAGGAATGTACTATTAGCTTTGTTAGTTGCAATTGTTGTTTGCCAGGCGAGAGATAGGGATGAAGAAATCACTAAAAAACCAAAACAAAAACACCAATTTAGTAATTTGCAAGAAAGAAACACAACAACAACACACACACGATCAATTAATGAAAATAAAACAAATATTTGGTTGGAGTTTTTATGGCAAAAGCAACAAAACAAAAGAAAACAAAAGAAAAAATTGAAGATTGATAATTGCAAGAAAACAAAAGAAAAGGAAAGAAACGTTTACTATTATACCTAGGCCATAAGTATTATTATTTATATACAAGATGCAAGCGGATGCAACAACAACAACAACAAAATACCACAAAAAGAAAAACTTAAAACAAAGTTTTATAAAACGAAAAAAGAGAAAAGAAAAGCAAAAACAAACACAAAAAAACCATAAAAATGCAAGCAAATATAAAGAATTTGATAAAAAAAAAATTACGATATCTTTTGATTTCCATCGGATGATGGGTGGGTTGTTTGCAGGATTACCATGGAATTTTGAATGTACAGTGCCAAAAGAATCATTCAAATTCAATCGTATCGGTTAAATGAGGAACTAAATCGTAGTTCATTTCACTGTCACCATGCGCTCCATGCGAACTACACATTAAGCTAAGACACAAACCAGCAAATTCATCGTGGTTCATTTATTAAACGCATAGGTGGCGCATGAGTTTACTTTCCAATGCGTGTGAAGTACATACGGGCTAATGGGGTTAAGTTCGTTTGTTCCCCTCTAGCAACATATTTCGTAGCAACATACATACCTCGGGAAAGCGGGATTTTAAAGTGCTTTCAATTAATCAATTCGTCCCAGGCTCCAATGAATGCAGAAAGCTATTATATTATTAAAAATACTGGAAGACACGAAAATACTTAAAAACGTATGCAATGCATGGTGTGTGACCTAAACGAGGTCGTCGGATGGAAATAAATTTCACCTATGTTGTATTGTCTCTTAATATAACTAGTAAATACGGTTCTCAGCAGACAGACAGCATACATTGTCTCATCAATAAGTAATAGTTTCAGGGCTGCGAGTCTGGGTTTGCTTGTAATATTAATTAGAAAATCGAATAGGTATGAATATTTCGGTATATTTCTGACGGACAGGCGGTATATTTAATCGAACTATCATTGGTCACACTGGTCGCGAAAGGGAACGCAACAAGTGCTCCAAAACATCCCAGAACCCCAACCCCTACGTTTCTGTGTGCCCCACCAACGTTTCCCCTTATCGGCGCAAGCACCGTGGAACCAGTATCACAACTTGTGTAACTTTTGTGCCGTGCTGGTCGTGACGGACGCTGCGCTGGCTCTGTGTTTATAAATTTTGCGTCGGCGGTCGCGCGGCTTTGTTTATAAAAATTGTGTGTTGTAAACGCCGCGTGTGTGTGAGTGCATGGAGAAGGGCGCACGTTTGCCCGTACATTCGTGTGTGATTATTCCGTGCAGCGTGTGAAAAATTAATGCTACATTGGATAGAAAATAGCGAAAAAGGTAAAAGCAAGCAGGCGGCAAAAGAGATTGAGTGAGAAGTGGTTCTGTCTGACGCGGTTGCGTCGGCGCAGCATAGGGCGTTTCAAAGGTGTGTGTGTGTGAGACAGGTTTTTCGGCTGCTGTTTGAGATTGTGTGCGTGTTTGTGTTTGTGAAGCAACATTTAATTACTTTCAATAGCCGTTCAATTACAAGAAGCAGTTGCAAATATGTGTAATTTGCTTTCGATTGCACTTGGTGCGTAATTAAATTTTTGAGAATTCACACAAAAACAAGCACAAACACATGCACACACATGAACAGACGGGACGGAACAGTGTGTAATTGTGGAAGGGGAATAGCCCCAGAGGGGGGCACGTTCCAGCGTTAGATGGTGGCGTAATCGTAATCTTTTTGCCCTCCTCTTAATGATTTAATTGAGAGAAGCGTAAATTGCAAGACTGAAATTCAATTTACCGTTTGACTTTTGCCAGACCGTGAGAGACCCCCAAAGTGTGTAAGAGCAAGGTGAGGACTTTCTCACAAAGAGAGTGACCGTGAAGAGTGGGAATACCCCTCCTTGAGGCGATCGTATAAGTAATCTTAAGACTCCTTAACTTGTATAACAACAACATATTGGCAAAGACAATATAAGAATTCGTATTTGTCTTTGATATTGGAATGTCCACACACACTCTCAAATAATATCTGCCTTTGTACGTTTCCCATTGTGTACGTGCGTCGCGTGCCGTTTTGCTGCATTTTCTTTTGCTTTTGCGCGACGCGACGGGAAAGCGTTCTTCCGTCTGTTTGCTTTTCCAATCATCAGCAAATAGTGGAAATGACAGCATTAATAAAACCAAAACCAAAAACCAGTTGACCGTGATATAGTCGTACAACAAAAGCTTGCAAAATATTCAAAATAAAAAGTGAATGATTTAATTGTGGAATTATTTCATCGTGTGCTTGTGTGCCCCCCTTCGTGCCCCTCTCGCACGGTCTCTATTGAGTGTCTGTCGAAGGGCATTTCGTCAATGAATAACGGCAGTTTTATTGTAGCTTGTGGAGCTTAGGAGGTGCGAAAACGACAAAGAGGAAAGAGCTTAGAGGTGCGAAAACGAAGAAGAGCCAAAGTACATCACCTTTGTGTCAGCAGAAGTCAAAGCAGCGGCAGCGGCAGCGGCAGCGGCAGCGGCAGCAGCAGCGACTGCGACTGCGACTGCGAAGCCGGCATTGAACAAGCAATAAAACAGAAGAGAGCAAGTAAAAGATAACAGCAAAACGCAACACGACGTCAGCAGACCAGACCCTTGGTGGGGCCCCACATTCCAGCGGCGGGCATTTTGTGCGTCGGCATTTCATCAGCTGCAGGCGGAGGCCAGACCGCCGTCAAGTCAGGCTTGGGGTCACCGGTCAGGCCCGAATCTTTTTGCAGTAGCAGAAAAAACAGCATCAGCATCAGAGTCGTGGGTAAGTGAAATACATGTGTATGGATGGGTGAGGGTGCATTGGTGTACAATTTACATCAAAGTCTATTTTCTGCTATTTTCCACATCTTGTTCGCCTTCTCAGTCTTCTCCGGGCCATACCCTAATGGAAGAGAAGAATTTTATGATTTTATGGAAATGTTTGTAGATATCTCAGCATTCCCTTAAGAAATATATGTACACTCTCCATTAGCAGGAGGAGAGAGGGGTGTGCAACTCTTTATTTCTCTAGCTTTAATTTCTCTTAAGTTGTAAAGTTTCTTGTAACGATCGTATTTTTTAGAGTATCAAAGTGTCGGTCTAGCCTTTGTGTTTTTTTGTTGTTTGGATTTTCTGCTTTTGTTCTTCTGCTCCTTCTCCTTCTTGTTGCTGTTGCTGCCTGTCACGCCCTCCCGCTCGCTGCCTGCCTGACGGGAGGGCCATGTGAAAGCATTTTTGCGTAGAAATTACATATTGTTTCGTCTCGCCTCTCTTTCTCCCCTTACACCTGAGAGTTACTTGTTGTTGCCGTGTATTTTTATGGGTCGTACTCATCCATCGTCGTAACCCTGTGCCCCTCTCTCTGTCGTGCTTTAACAGGGCATCGCTTTCTGCTCATCAAAGCACAAAAAAACACATCCAAAGGCGACGGCTACGGCTACGGCGGCTGCGATGCGCTGTGCTGTGTCCCTCAATTATGTTAATTATGAATTGCCCTGAATTTGTGAGAGTGTATCGGTGTGTTTGAGAGCCAGTCAAGCGGGTAAGTGGGCTTTTGGGTTGCACAGGTGGAAGGGGGCGAACACAACTTTAACCCAAATTCGAGGGAATCTCCTCGCCATTGCCAAACAAAAATTGATTCATCACCCATGTGGCTCCTCTCTTGATGATCTTTTAATGGACCATAAACCCCGTTAAAGACACCCCGATCTAATGGCAATGAACTTCATTTGTTTGAGAGTTCCGCTGATACTCGTCTTGCTAATAGATCTCTCTCTCTCTCTCACTCTCTTTCGAGTGGTTTTTGGGGGGAACTTCAGCTATTAGTGCCACAAAACAAATGTGTGATTATGAGGCAAATACAGTTGTTGTTCGAATGCTAATGATATTTCCATTTGGAAAGACGGAAAAAACGTTACGGAACACATACGCGAATGTATTATGGAATGGTATTAATAATGAAATATAATTACAGCACACCGTTTTCGTTTCTTAGAATGGTATCAATAAAAATAATAGAATATTGTTTACTTATAATTGATTTGCTTTTTGTGGAATCATAAAGTGTTACTCGGGTTTCCATTCGGTTTATTTATGGGTTTAGATTACATTCATATCAAAATCTCAAATCTCTCTTCAGTTTTGTTGCATTTCCTCAAGTCCTCCTGCAAGTCCTCATTCAGCTACCATTTTCCATCCTCCACAGTCAGCGACCCGCTTATCACATTCTTTTGGCTCCACGTTCCCTGTTGGAGCATTCTTTTTCAAACGAAATTTATCGCGGATCCAGCAACAGCAGACGGGAGAAGCAACAACAATAGATCAGGGGAACATCCCACAACCAGCCAGTCAGCCAGCGAATGCTTCAATTTTATCCGTCGCTGGAGAATTTCGTAATTTCCAAATCACAATATTAATGCATGCCGAGGCCGATGCCAATGGGAGCCCCTGCCCCACAGCTCTGCTTCTGCTCTAACAATGGGAAAAATGGAAATCGAGCGTTGTTGCAACAAGAGGGGAGGAAAAGCACAGGGGGATATACTTTTTTTTTGGGAAACCTTTCAACAATGGAAAACTTGCCCAAGCCGTAGTCCACGGAACTGCGTCCAAAGTGCCGCAGTTGTTGCTGTTTTCTGCTGCTGCTGCTGCTGTTGGCATCGCCCAAGCCGGAAGATATTTTATACTGGCTTGCAACCGGGCCAGGGCCAAGGGGGGTCTGGGTGCTGCCGGGTGCCGCCGCCGCCTGTTCCATGTTTAGACAGAAACAAGTTTTATGCTTTGGCAATGATGACGCTATGGCTATGGCTCTATGGCCAGAGCTATGGCCCCTCCGCTGACCAGTCCATCGGCTTTTGTGGCCAACACTGCCGGCAGCTGCTTTTGTTGTTCTTGGCCAGGCCTACCACTACCCTATCCCACTGCCC